TCTTATATAGTTACATTGTAACACAAATTTTTTCAACTCTTGTTGCATCTGCAAAGGAAACTTATTTTTACTGAATGGATAAATTGCTTCTCGCTGTAGCTTGCTTAATGTTTATTGTCAGTAGCTTGTTAGCTTTTAGAAACAAACCTAGAAGCAGACTTAAAAATCAAAATGATGCCTTTTAAATTGTCTGAAGACACTTAATATTAAATACTTTTGGGTTAGAAAGTCATGCAAATTGAGAGTAATTACTTTTTATTACTTTGAGCGAACAGTGTCATGTTCCAGGATTTACAGAAGGTCATTCTCTGGTTTTCTTTCATTACTTAAAAAATAACAATAATTTGGCTGTACAAGTATTAGATAATAAAACTTTTCCTGTTTTTAAACTCAAGGGATATATTGTTGGATGGACAAAAATTCATTGTTAACAGATGAATATGCACATACCTTTGAGTGATAAGTTATAATTAAGCTATTTCATTGATTTTTAAGATGTTTCTGCAGTGGAACAGTATCTTCATATTGGCTTCCATGGCTTTATTGGTCACTTCTTGGCAGATATAAAAGAATGTGTCTGAAAATTAATGGCATCTTAGAATCAGTTAGATAGGGAATATTTAGAAGTTTGAGCACATTGATTGTTTAAGACCAACATCCTTTACCTAAAGGATGACTTGTGTAATGAAGATGCACAACATTTCTAGGTCCTTCCATCTCAATTAGAAACTTTTCTTTTGGAAGGTTCCTGTAAAGACACCACCTGCCCCACCGAACATAGAGCAAATGGGGAATTTATGTTTGTAAATATAAGAATCATTTTTTGAAATGTTTAGAAGGAAACAAACTGGTGAATTTTCATGTGAGCAGATGGTGTGGTTAGTGTTTTGTGGTGAAGTCAATCAGACAGTATAACCAGGTGATGAATATGTTCCCCTCTCTCCCCATTCTGGAAAACTTCTAGGTCCACTAGTAAATGGACCTTGTTTTAAAGAGAAGTATGTTTGAAAAGAAATCCCAGGTAAGTCAACCATGGAAAGAGTGTTTATACTTCTTCCTCAGGTGGACATCAGCTTTTCTCTCAGTGAGGTCCCAAACCAACAGCAGGTCAGAGTGGAAATTGTTTGAAACGCAGACTGTGGGACCCACCCCTAACATACTGAACCAGAATCTGCATTTAAGTGAGATTCTCCTTCAAGTTTGCAGTGGGCCAAAGTCATTCTCTTAAAACTTGCACCCATCTGCCTCCAGGGCTTCTGCTTCAGTAGGTCTGAAGGGGCTTGACCGTTTGCACGTTGAGGAGGTTTTCAGGTGACGCTGCTAGTGGGTCAGGACTGGACTAGGAGAATCATTAGACTAAAGCCTCCCCATTGACCTTGCTAGTCTCACTTCTAATTCCTCAGCCCCCCATGTAGCATTTATAAATTTTTATGATCATATTTAGCTTGACAGAAGCAAAATTATATTTTTAATAACTTTAAAATGGTGGCTATATAGTTTGTACCAAAATTGCTTATCACTGTCTAATTTCAGAGAAAGTTTTTTAAACTGTTTGACTGCTTTGTAAGTGGCTTCTTTCTGAGTTATATTTTTAACACTTTTAAATTATGTTTGCATAAAGCAAAGGTTCATAGGAGTCAAAAATTAAGATAGCTTGTTGGAGGATTCTAAGTTCCAGTCTGTCTTGGCTTAAGCTGCCCCTCCCTGCACAGAAGATCTCTTTTCTTTCTTCCCTGTAGATCTGCTGTTTTCTTTGCACAGGGATGCTAGCACGGAACACATGTCCCCTCCTTTTTATGTGAGTTGAAGCACACTGTAAATTATTCTACCCTTTTCTCTAGTTATTCTACCTTTGGGATCTTTCCATATTAATATATAGAAAATATTTATCGAACAGTTTCAAAACATTTCTCTGTATATCCATGCCATAATGTTTTGAACTTGCCCGACTGATGCATATGTGAGTTTTTTCCAGTCTCTTACAATCACAGGAAATACCCTTGAATACATACCTCATGTATGTGAGGTGTATCTGTTGGATATTTTCCCAGAAGCAGAGTTGCTGGGTTGGTGTGCTAGCAGGTAACATTTTGATAAAATGTTGCTCTCCAGGCTGCACAACTGAGCTCTCGCAGACAGTGCAGTAGATAGAGCAAGTTCCTGTTTCTCCCTAGCATTTCCAACAGCCTGTGCTGCCAGCCTTTGGATTTGAGTTGGTCTGATAGGTGAAACATGGCAGCTTAGTTTCAGTGCATTCATCATGAGTGAGGATGAGCACCCTTTCAGGTGTCCAGGCTGGTTGTTTCTCAGTGAGCTATTTAGTTCTGCCCCTTGCATGTTTTTCTTTTGGATTGCCTTTTTCTTACCAGTTTCCAGGAATGTATACATTAGATTAACCCTTTGTAATGTGAGTTGCAATTTCCCCCAGTTTATCATTTTTTAAACTTTTATGTGTTCTGGTATAGAGAAGATTCAGAGAGTTTGCTTTAAGTTTAGTTAATAGTAATCTTTCTGGGTGTCTTGAGTCACAAAAAGCACTCTTTAAGAATTTGGAATTGCAGGTAGACGGTTACCTGAAAGAAAGCATGTTTTCTTGTAGCTTTTTTGTGGCTTTATTTTTACATTTAAAACTTTACCCTGGTGTTCAGGGTGTGATGCATAGATTGTGCTTTACCTTTCCCCATGTGGCTACCAGCTCTCTGCCCCTGTTTCACAGTCCATCTGAGTGCAATTGTGTTGCGTGGAGGTATATATCTGGACTTTCTATTTTATTCCATTGGTCTTTCTGTACCTATACCAGTACAATTACTGGTTTTATAACACATTTTAATGTCCTTAAAACTAGCTTCCTCTGTTGCCCTTTATTGCCTTTATTCTTGGCAATTCTTGCTTGTTTGTTTTTCCATGTGAACTTTAGAATCATTTTGTCTAGTTCCCAAAAAAGGTCCCTTAAAAAATGAGATCATGCTAAATGTATAAGCTAACTTGGGGAGAATTTTTATCTTTCCAGTATCGAAATTTCCTATTCAAGAACATAGTATTTTTTTTCATTTGTTTGCTTTTACCTCTTGAATTTTTCTAGAATACTTTAATGTTTTGCTCATACAGGTTTTGCCCATTTTTTAATAAATTTATTTTAATTTTTCATCTCTTTTTTTGATATCTTTATTTTTTCTAACTGGTTTTGATTGTACAATGGCTATTTACTTGTATATAAGTACAGAACTTGAAGTAGTAAACAGGTTTTTAATGGAATTTAAATTCTGCAAAATCCTGAGTATATATTTTCCCTAAAAGAGGGAAAGCCTTGAGAGCCAACTTGGTAAGTGTAGTTCTTCTGCATTTATTAGCTCTGTGGACATCAGCGGATCTGTTTGACTTCTCTGCCTCAGTTTCCTAATCTGTCTTGGTAAGAACTTGGGAGATGAAGAGAGAAATGTGAAATTTATCAGTTAACACTAGACTCTGTCCCCACTGGTATTAACATAGGTGATGCTTGCTGTTTTCTTCTTCGTATTCTTGCCCTTTCACCTTTAAAGAGAAAAAAGAGACTCATAAAAAGATACTAGAATCAGAATTAAAGCTGAAGTTCTGACTTAGTGTGATGAGGATACTCAGTATAGTGAGGACAGAGTCAACTCCGCCCGGCACCAAGGCCCCTCCTGCTCTCCAGCCTTGCTGCTGCCTGTGCCGGTGCGCTCTGAAGTGGGGCCCTGAGTTCCTGTAGCACTGTCCATCCCACCCAGAATGTTCTACTCAGTTCTGCTAGCTCAGATATACCTCCCTGCACCCAGTAGAAAACAGTAGGTCTGTCCTGCAGCCGGGGTCTTGAGAGACCATGTCTGCCCTACCCACCAAAGAGTGCCCAGCGGTGGAATACCTGGCGAAGAATAGACAGGTATTTGCTAAATAAATAAACGAATACTTTGACTTTGGTTTTCCTTTTGCCTTCAGCTCTGCGTCTCACCCAGTGTGTTATAAGCCGTCAGTGCCAGGATCCCAGGGTTATGCCCTTTCACGCTAGTAGTATTTTTTTTTTAATTAAAGTTTATTTTTACATCATTTTTCACATTTTTTTTT